CCCCTTCCTCCCGCCCCCCCCCACCTCGAACTGTACCTTGAAGTCAGGGATGGCGAACTTGGTGTTGTACGACAGGTTGGACTTGGAAGTCACCGTGTTCAATCTCTCCAGCGCTTGTAAGTTTTCCTTATCGCCAGGGGCAGAAATTAACCAAAACTCGGACATGCTTCCAGTCTTCTCTTATCCAGTAACTGCCGGAGCCGCACACAGAGAAACAGGACAAGTGTCAGCTGTCCCTCCTTCCTCACCACTCCCTTCCCTGGGAAGTAACCCTCTCCCTGGTTCCCATTCTCTGTGCCTTTGACCTTCAGCTCAGATCCCATAGCTCCAAGGACACCCATGGGTACAAGCTGATCTGCAATGTTCTCATCTCCGCCTGACATGCCCTCGGGTCCCCCCCAGGGTTCCCAAAGGGGCGCCTTCCCGAAGGTCACCTGTGTCATTTTCAGGGACAGCATGCTCCCTTTTCCTCCACTCTCCCCGTCCAGTGCCAGACCCCACCCGGCATCATAAACAGGGGGACAGTACACGGGGTGGGGGACCTTCTGGAATGGCATTTCCTCCTTCGCACCTTGCGTCTTTGGGGGTGGAGGATGGGGTGGAGGCAGGAGTGAGATCAGGCCACCTGGGCAAACCCCAGATCTTCACTTACCGAACCTGAGATGGGCACTGGCTTTTAAAATAGACCCAGGCCCTGGCGGCGGCTCCGTGGTTAGAGCATCGCCCAGACACTCAGGTGGCAGGTCTCCCTTCAGGGCACATGCAAGAGTCCTCGATGTTTCTCTCCCTTCCTTTCTCTCAAATCAATCAATACATGATTTTTAAAAATTTTAAATAGACTTCAGAAGGAAGTCTTTTGGTGAAATAAGAAAAAAAAGCGGTGGGGCCAGGGGCTTCGAAAGTTGTATTTCTCGAGACCCGTGTAGCCCGGTCCTGCCAAGCGGAGAGCTTGCAGGGCCGGCGGGCAGATTCTGTCCGGCGTCCTCCGACGCCCATTAGTCCTGCTCATTCAAACGTGCACACGCCCACGCCGTCCTCCCTCGCTCCGTGCGCCCTTCCCGTGCCCCCCGGCACCCCTGGGACCCATCTGGCAGCTCTTCTTTCCCACACCATCTCCCTGCGCTCAAGGTGCTCAAGGTAGGCTCAGCCCCTCCCGGTCTATGGCCTGGGGACACGCTGGCCCCGCGCGCCGCCCCAGAG